ACTTATCTTTCCTTTTTTTAAGTTTATTTATTTATTTTGAGAGAGTGTGAAAGTTTGATCAGGGGAGGGGCAGGAAAAGAGAGAGAGAGAGAGAGAGAGAGAGAGAGAGAGAGAGAGAGAATCTCAAGTGGGGTCCATACTGTCAGCACAAAGCCCAAGGTAGAGGTCAGTTAGGAGCCGTGAGATCATGACCTGAGTCAAAATCAAGAGTTTGATGCTCAACTGACTGTGCCACACACATGCCCCAACAGTTATTTTCTTACAGTATTTGAAAAGTATTGTGCCACTTCCTCCTTACCACCATGATTTCTGATGAATACCCATTATTATTTAAATTGTTTCCCCCCTAATTCTTACTGCCTACAAGATATTTTCTTTTAATTTTGTTTTCTGGAATTAGGTTTTGATATGTCTTGGGGGTTAACTCAGCTTTTTTAATTCATAAGTTCATGTCTTTTGCCAAATTTGGGGAATTTCCAATCGTGATTTCATTGACTAGTTTTTCAGCACCACCATCATTCTCCTTTTCTGGGACCTCAATGACATGACTGTTAGATCTTTTGTTATAATGTTTGGTCCTTAAGGTTTTATTTTTTTTTTCTTTCTTCATTGCATTTTCTTCATGTTGTTTACATTGAGTAATTTCTCTTTTTTTAATACTTATTTTTGAGAGAGAGAGTGAGAGAGAGAGAGACAGTGAGCCTGCAAGCAGGGGAGAGACAGAGAGAGGGCGACAGAGGATTCAATGTGGGCTCTGCATTGACAGCAGCAAGCCCCATGTGGGGCTTGAACTTATGAAATCATAAGATCATGAGATCATGAGATTATGACCTGAGCCGAAGTTGGACACTCAATCGACTGAGCCACCGAGGCGCCCCTACTTTGGGTAATTTCTAACATTCTATCCTCAGCTTCATTGATCTTTTTTCTTTTGTTCTTTCCATTCTTCTGAGACCATCAGTGAATTCTTTATTTTGGCTATTGATATCACAATTGTAAAATTTCTGTTTGATTATCCTTTATATCTTCTGTTTGCTTAGACTTTTCCATTGTTAAAAGAATTTCAAGCATGTTTGTAGTTACTCATTGAGGCAGTTTTATGATGACTGATTTAAAATTCTTTCAGAGGATTGCAAATATATGAGTCATGTCAGTACTGGTGTCTACTGATGTTTTTCTCCTCAAGTTAGGTTTTCCTGGCTCTTGGTATGATTGGTGATTTTCTTTTCTTTTTTCTTTTTTAGGGGGGAGGGGGCACAATGAGTGAGGGGCAGAGAGATAGAATCCCAGGAGAGCTGGGGGAGATGGAAGAGAGAGAGAGGAAGAAAGAGAGGGGAGATCTGTGATTTTCAATTATATTCTGGACATTTGGGTGATTCTGTTCTAAAGTTTGGAACTTTTATCTATTTCAGAAGATGAAGGAAAAGAAGCTTTATTACTTTCAAGTGGGAGTAGAAGTCCAATTTCCCCAGTTAGTCTCTTTTGATTCCCAGGAGAGGAGTTAGGCAAAGTGGGATTTCACGAATATCACCCTGAATCTCAGGGAAGGAGAGACGTCCCATTCCCAACCCCCAGTGTTACTATTCTCCTCGTGGGCTCCATTGACACCGCTGTTGGAAGAGAAACCTCACCAACAGTGAAAGTCTTACCTGCCAACTCTGTGTTCTCTGATGTGAGCAGGGAAAGGGAGAAGGAGCAACATCTCTTTACCTCTAGGTGGTACAGAACTACATGATCCTCACACAGCCTTCACTGACATCTTAGAGAGAGATCTCATTATCGTCGAGTGGGGGTGAAGATCCTTGTTCTTCACTCAGTCTTCTCTGATACCATCATTGGGGTAGGAGAGAGAGGGTACAATAAGGAGCAAAGCTGGCATTTTTCATGGTGTTTGTGATAAATATATAATGATCTTTGTTTCTGGTTCCTTGCATACAGCTCCTAAAACTCATGGAATCTTTGGAGGATAAGAATATCTTTTGTATGCTAATGAGATGACTGGTAGCTGGGACTGGTAGCTTCATGATAGAGATTATTTGCCAGAAAGATGAAAACATGGTTAGAGAGTTAGAACTTTTAACCCCACCTCTGACCTCGGAGGAGGGGAAAAGAGTTAGAGGTTGGCTAATCACCAACAAACAATGATTTAATGCTTCATAGCTATAATGAAGCCTCCATAAAATCCCCTTAACAACTCAGAGCTTCTGGGCTGGTGAACATATCTGGATGCTGAGAGAGCCTGGAGGCTCTCCACCACCTACTTCATACTTTATTTACCCTGTGCATCATGTCCATTTAGCTGTTCCTGAGTTGTATCCCTTGTAATGGACAGGTAAATACAAGAAAAATGCTATCCTGAGTTCTGTGAGTCATTTTAACAAATTCTCCAACTTGAGTAGAGGAATCATGGGAACCCTCAACTGACCGCCAATTGGTCCAAAGTGCAGGTGGGAACCTGGGACTTGACTGGTCTCTAAAGTGAGGACAGTCTTACGGCACTGAGATCTTTGGAATCTGTCCTAATACTAAGTAGTTAATCATAGGTCCAGAGAGCTGGACAATTGGTTGATGTTGGGGGGTGGGGGGGGGAGGGAACCTCACACATATCTTGAGTAAAAATAGTTTAGTATTTACCTGGATGGCAATCATGGTCTGAAATTTCTTGTTATGCTAAGTTTGCCCCATTTCCTGTTTCTTTGGCTAGAGAGAGAAGGCTTTCCTTGAGGAAGTTTCTTAGTTCCCATTAGAAGTCTTTGGGTTATTATTCCAGCAACACATTTTGGCCATATAAGACTGAAAGAGTTCATTACCATATTATCCCTCAAATCTCAGATTACCTAGGCAGTCTCCATCTCTCTACCTATCAAAGTCCTCTTACATTTGTTTTGTATATAATTTTGAGGGGTTTTAGCCATATTTAGTAGGATGAATAGAGAAAAATATGTCTATTCCATCTTTATCTAGAATCAGAAGTTCAAAATCAGTTTTAAATATTAGGATTTTTTTTTCTATAAGAGAAAAAAATTGCTTTTCCTCCCCTACTTGGCAATTTTTCTTCCTCCTATATTTCTGTTCCCAACTCTGCAAGATTGGCTCAGGAATAATTCTTTCATTAAGTAACCTCATGAGGTCACTATTACCAGCTGTGACAGTGTCTCTCAGTCATTCCCTTGTTAATAAGATCTTTTCTGAAGTCCATTTACACATGAGTCACAGACATTTCCAGCATATGTTGATTAGATTCTCAGCATATGCTGATCCGTTTCCCAAAGGATATTTACATCTTGCTGGGTGCTACTGTTTTTTGAGATTTTCTATATTAAGTGACATCCAAACTTATTAATTAGCAATATTATTAATGCCAAATTTTCCAGTCTGTTCAGTCTATGGATTTGTGACTTAAAATATTCTCGTCCTTCTTCCAAGCACTGCTATCAAGGAGGCTCATGTGTAGCATGAGTATTTAACTGATTCAAATGATGTTTTAGCAAGAGATGGAGCACAGAGCGTAATTAAGAGCTGTGGGTGGGTTTCTAATACACCCTGGAAGTTTTATATGCATTATCTAATGTATTTTTCAAAATAAAGCCATGATATTTATAAATCCATTTTAGGAATGAAGCTCTTCTAAGGTCTCACTGTTAGTAAAACCCAACCTAGGTTTGAACCCCTACTATAAGTGGAGTTCTCCAATGGTCCATGAGCCATTAGTAGACCATTAAATCAGTTTGGTGGGCAGCATTTTTTTAAGTGAAGGATATCAGAGTTGAAAACATCATCAGACCGTATCTAATGAAACCAAAAAATTGTTTCTTATTTGTTTATTGATATTGTATGTGAGCTGAGTCCCAATACATAGAATGTGTTTTATAATGGAGTTTGCAGTGAAAGAAGTCTGGACAGCCATTGTATTAGGTGACCTTTTGAGATACTTCCAGGCCTAAATCTAAGTGAGATTGTTTATCATACCCACTGTGCTAATATTTTTCCAGGAAAATGCATCATCCCTCAAGAGCAAAATCAATTAATTTATTCATTCATTTGTTCATTCCAAAATTTATTTTTTAAAACCCCAAATTCGTAGTGTAGAATCTCTGGGTTAGAATAGAAAGTAGCTATTTCTATGGCAAAAATTCATGCTAGCGTGTAACTCTTGCTGGCTGTGATTGGTGTTTGGATATGTGGGTTTATTTCTGACAGGGATACATTTTGCCATTTGATGTTTTGTTTTTTGTTTTTTCCTCTTCGCCATAAAACTCTAAAACAAGGTGAAGTTCTCATCAATTTCACAGTAAGATTTGAATTGGATGCTAAAGTTACAGAAGAGGTGTTAGTCTGTAGTGGTTAAGAGGTCAGTCACAAATTTCTGGAGTCACAAATATGCATTTCAAATCCAGATTCTGTCAGTTAGAGCCCTGGGCAAAGGACTTCTCAGTTTTCTTACCTGGAAGATAGTAGCAACTAACTCATTCTGATGATGTTAGGATTAAAATGAGATGCATGCAAGTTTTTTATCAAAGAAACTTAATAGCTGTTAGAGATTAGTTTATTACTTGTGAAGGAAGACATTTGCAGAAGCCAATAATTTCAAAAGAAGTCCTAAACCTTTTAATTTCATGTTAGACTTGTTAAATTGCTTTTTCTCAGAGTAGACTAAATAATGAATGACTGTTGTCTGAGTTTTAAATTGTAAATAATTGGTGGGTGACTTTACAGAGATAGAAAGGGAAAGAAAATCACGTCTTCTTGGTTTTTTGTCTCTATTTTTTAAGTGTCCATGGCTGTACAAATCAGTCTTTTCCATAATCTAATTCTAAGTTAACTGTCATACTTTGTAGGGTCAAGCGCCAGACCTTATGTAGCAAAGCTAGATTTCTACACTGTAACACCAGCTCCAAGAGCTGGCAGTCCAGGAGTTGTATTTTGAAAATGCCTCACATGCCTGACTGCATCTGTGATGAAAGACACTTTTGATATTGCAGGACAACCTGGAGCCGTCCATGTTCCCGATACAGAAGGGCTCCCTGAACCTCCTGAGGCAGAAGTGGGAATCCAGTGAGTACCACAAAAGTGAGTGTTGCCCTGGGGGTAGTCGTTGCAGGCTCTTGCAGCCTCGAGAGAGCAAATTGCTTGACCCCAAATTAGAGGCGGTGTCAGCACCTGGACCTCCGGACCCCCCTGGCATGCCCCTCGGTGTAGGAGAGGAGATGTTGAACTCAGAGCCTGAGGACAAGAGTGACACCTCCAGGGAATATTGCCCGCCTGAAGTGCTAAAGGAGGATTCCTTGATGGGTCGGCGCAGGATTGAGCGCTTCTCCATTGCCCTTGATGAGCTGAGAAGTGTGTTTGAGGCCCCCAGGAGTGGAAACAGACCAGCTAGGCCAGCGGAGTATTGCCAAAAGGTAAGGACTGAGAGTTGAAATTTTCAGTTGACAAGCTAGGCAACTTGCTTCTCCTGCTGCTTAGTGTTAAGCTCAAGATGTTTTTTGGCTGCTTCCGAGTGTGCGTGTTTTCCTCTCCCCTGCTTTAGGAAAAATAAGCAACCGTGTAATAGGACAGTGTGAAACGTGGCATCCTCTATCCTTGACTTTTTCTATGGGCTGTTCCAGTGGGGACTCAATTTCCTTTTACTCCTGCAAAGCTGATAAGCTACTTCTTTTTGTATGTGCTTTATTTCCATAACCAGGTTGCAAGTTCCTTACAGGTAGGGACAATTCCTTACTGCTTTGCATTTCAAACATTTTACAAATGGTGCTACGTTTAGCTAGAGCTCAGTGAGGATTTCTCCATAATGATAGTAAAATGGAGCAAGCTTTGGAACCACAGTGAACTAGATTTTAATCCTAAAACTTGCCATTTACTTCTAGAGCTCCATGGCACTTAACCTTGAGCATACACATGTCTTAATCTGCTTTACAGGGATCTTGTAAGGATTATTGATAATATATTTTAACTACTAGGGACAGAGTGTGAAGTATTTTGTGGTAGATGATGATCATGCTTCAGTGATTTTGGTGTACTATAATGTCACATATAAAATATGTCTATTAGCTAGTGGGGACATTTAATCAAATGCAGGAAACAGGATTAGCAACATTATTAATGAAGACCACATTTATATTTCTGTTTTCAATTAAAAACAACTGCTGTTTAAGTTGGAGTTGCTTGAATTTATTGCACCCATTAGGGCCCCTACGTGAGAGATTATAGTTTAATTTAATAAAGAATTAATAAATGATCTGAGGTTTTCCACTGGGAAGCAAACTCCATGCTTTAATTTTTTTATCTACTGGCACTTATCAGGAAGGTATAGTCCTATTCTTCTTAATGGATAACTAGCTTTCTTAAGGTTCACAGAAATAGAAAATTTTTCAAAATAAATTATTTCCCTAATACTTGTCTCCAGTTTCCTTATTGGGGCATAGTTAGTATTTACAATGAGACCATTTTTGTATCTCAAGTAATTCAACTTGATTTAATGAGAATAAAGACTATGAAGCTACATATATGAATGAGGTTATGTTAAAACTAGAGGACTTCTCAAAAAAGGCAACTACCTGCTAATCCCTAATTTGAGAATTTCCTTTCCCTCCTTTTGATTATATAAGCAGAATCCTTTTCATTTGTAGGTGTGTAATATCTCTCAGTTGGATGTCTAGAGATTAGGGTACACTTACCATAGATATTTACACTGTCATTTCTTTTTTATCTTAATAAATTAAGGAAAGCAGAGCCATAGAAAACGGTTTCTATTCAATATCTGTTGAGTTTAATGTAACAATTTTGGACATGTACTTAAGATAATTGACAAAAGAAATGGCCAAAAGTAGAAAAATTAATCCTTATAAATTATGTAATATAACTTATCCTTATCTGGAGTAAGGATAGCTGCTTAAATGTCATAATAAACAAATGAATCAGTAATAAGGGGTTCTGTTTGACCTGTGAGATTACTACTGTTGGTGTGGAATGTGATTTTGGATCTAGTGCCCATAAAAATAATTACGGAAAGAAACAGATACATGAAGCCATCTTTTAGGTAGTGAAAATGAGATTTGGTCAGCATGTTTACTATACTGTATTCTAGGTATTCTATGGTACTAGGCCATGAAATGTTATTTCTTTAAATGTATGAAGTATGGATCGTGCATTTAGACATTTCTCATCCACAGCTGATACACATGATTTTTAGAAATGATTTACCTAAATATTAGAATTAGGAGTATTTACAAAAAAAACCTATGTAAATTTCATATGACTTCTAGAACAAGGAGAAAAAAGAAAAGAAAAATGAGAACCCAGTAAAGAACTAACTTCCTTTCTTCTAATGAACTATTTTGCTGTGTTATTAGGAATATGAAAAGAATCCTATCCCAATTTAATTTGAAATCGGATAGTTCACACCAAAGCTTAGTAGTTCTATACAACTTAACTCTTTGTGTCTATAGATCTTTTTCTTCCTTTTCATATCAGCACTTTGTTATTGTTATAAAGTAATGAGGTAATATTTATTGGCATGAATATGCAAATATACTTTACTTTATAACTATGATACTTATATTTATGGAGACTCTCTATTGAGATATTGTTGATGTGGGGAATGGCATTCAATATTTATGATATTGTTTAAATTTTTTTAATGTTTGTTTGTTCTTGAGAGAGAGAGAACACGAGGGGGGCGGCTGCCAGAGAAAGACTCCAAAGCAGGCTCCGCACTATCAGCCCAAAGGCTCAAAGCCCCATAGCTTGCAAAGCCCCATGCGGGGCTCGAACTCACAGAACAGTGAGATCATGACCTGAGCTGAAGTCAGACACTCAACCAACTGAGCCACCAAGGTGCCCCAATATTGATGATATTAAAATTAAGGACAGAAAATCATTTCAGTTAGTTTTTGCAACTTAGCAAATAATCTCAACAATAATAAACACTAAACCACATTTTAATGTTGCTATAGAAAGAAACAATTTTGTTTATTTTTTTAATGTTTATTTTATTTTTGAGATAGAGTGGGGGATGAACAGAAAGAGAGAGAGAGACAGAGGACGTGAAGCAGGCTCTGTGCTGACAAGCAGTGAGCCTGATGTGGGGTTTGAATTCACACACTGTGAGATCATGACCTGAGCTGAAGTTGAATGCGCAACTGACTGAGCCATCCAGGCACCCCAGGAATCTCTTTAGCAATAGTCATTTGTTTAGGAAAAAAATGGTAACATTATTGAGGTTCAATGTAGAATTGTAGAATTTTTAAATTATGGAATACACACACACACACACACATCTCTTTAAAGCATTTTCAGCAAAAAAAAGAAAAAAATAGAAGTATGTCTTTTCAGACATAGCTCATTTTATTGAGCTTCACTTTATTGTGCTTTGCAGATATTGTGTTTTTTTACAATTGAATACTGATGGCAACTCTACATTAAGCAAGTCTATCAGCACCGTTTTTCCAACAGGATTTGCTGACTTCACATCTCTATGTCACATTTTGGTAATTTTTGAAATATTGCAAACTTTTCCATTATTATATTTGTTACGGTAATCTGTGGTCAGTGATTATGACTTGCTGAAAACTGAGCTAATGGTTTGTGTATTTTAGCAATGAAGTATTTTTTAACTAAGGTATTAATTTTTAATTAAGGTATTCTTAAAGACCATTAGTGCCATTGCACACTTAAAAGACTACAGTATGGTGTAAATATAACTTATGCACCGGGGAACCAAGGAAATCATTTGATTTGCTTTATTGTAATACTCATTTTGTTGCAGTGTTCTGGAGCCAAGCCAGCAATATCTCTGAGGTATGCTTGTATTTATTAAAAAGCGTTCATTTAAGGATAGTTTTTTTTTTATAAAACTATTTGTTAATTGAGATAAGAAACTATAAGAGTCAATACTATTTTCTATAAATATTCAAGCTCATTAGAGAAAGGTGATATCACCCCTCATTCCCAAAATATCCAGTGTATTCTAGAGCTTTTAAAAAATATTTATCTTAATATGATTGCAGTGGAAAATTGATAAGACATCTTTAAAATAATTTTGTCTCCTGGCATTATATACTTTCCAAAGAGAGACATAATCTTTTGTTATTATTTCTAAGACACACTGTAAAGGTAACTTAGAATGAGTTTTTAAACTGAAGGTTTTTATGCTCATGAGGCAGACTGCAATTCACATAGACAAAAATTCACATAGGCATTATCCCAAATAAATGATGTAGAACATGATTTGAAAAAAGTTTTGAAGAACCATGAGAATCTTAAAATTATAAATCTTAGAGAGAATGGCATACCCACTTGCAATACTAAAAAATAAATTGGTATTATGTAAGGCAATGCATCAGTTACCTTTCACTATGTAATAAATCACCCCAACATTAGCAGCCTTAAACAATAAGCATTCATTATTGCTTACAAGTCTCTGGTGAGCTGGGAAGTTCATCTAGTGTTTTCTGGTCTCACTCTGGCATCTATGGTCAGCTTCCAAATCAGCTGGGATCTAACTCTTCTAGGGTGGCTGCAGAGCTAGAACAACTCAGCTCTGCCCTGTGTGGTCTCAGCTCCTTCTATGTGTTGTTCATATTTATGTACCTGCCACAGGAGTTTCAAGAAAGAAATTAGAACTACATGAGGCCCCTGGAGGCCTATGCTCAGAACTTATACGTCACTTCTCTGTATTCTATTTGTCAAAATAGTCACAAAACAAACCAGATTAATAATGTGGTAAAATAGACTTGATGGGGAAGAATTGCAAAGTCACATTTGCAGAGGTAAATGGAAAGAGGAGAGAAATAATTATAGCCACTTTGCAGACAGTCTACCACAGGCAAGCTTACTTAAATACATTCAAGAATCAGAATGTTTTATTTCTTTTTTATTTTATTTTTTTTTTATTTTTTTTACAAATAGTTTATTGTCAAATTAGTTTCTACATAACACTCAGTGCTCATCCCCAAAGTGCCCTCCTCCATGCCCATCCCCCCCTCCCCCCCACATCCATCAGTCCTCAGTTTTTGTCAGCATTCAAGAGTCTCTCATGGTTGGCCTCTCTCCCTTTCCCCCACCATTTCCGCCCTTCTTCTCCCCCTTGTTCCTCCGTCAAGTTCCTCCTAATCCTCCTATACGTGCAAACATATGATATTTGTCCTTCTCTGCCTGACTTATTTCGCTCAGCATAAC